CAGTATTGTCTACTCTGACTGGCAGCGGCTCTCCAGGGTCTCAGGTGGAGGTCTTTCCCATCACCTGCTGCCTGGTCCTTTTCAACTGGAGATGCTGCCGGGGACTGAACCTGGGACCTTCTGCATGCCAAGCAGAGGCTCTGCCACTGAGCCACAGCCCCTCTTGACAGCTCTCCAGGGTCTCAGGCTGAGGTCTTCCCCATCACCTACTGCCTGGTCCTTTTAACAGGAGATGCTGCCGGGGACTGAACCTGGGTCCTCCTGCATGCCAAGCAAAGGCTCTTCCCCTGAGCCACAGCCCCTCTTGACAGCTCTCCAGGGTCTCAGGCGGAGGTCTTTCCCATCACCTGCTGCCTGGTCCTTTTCAACTGGAGATGCTGCCGAGGATTGAACCTGGGGCCTTCTGCGTGCAAAACAAAGGCTCTTCGACGAATACATGAAGCTCTCTTATACTGAATCAGACCCTTGGATCATCGAGGTCAGTATTGTCTACTCTGACTGGCAGTGGTTCTCCGGGGTCTCAGGCTGAGCTCTTTCACATCACCTGCTGCGTGATTCTGTTAACTGGGGATGCCAGGGACTGAACCTGGGACCTCCTGCACACACAGCAAATGCTCAACCATGGAGCCACGGCCTTGCCTTAATAATGAATCAGACCACTGGTCCATCAAGGTCAGGACTGTCTACTCGGACTGGCAGCAGATCTCCAAGGTCTCACGCAGGGGTCTTCCCCATCACCTACCACCTGGTCCTTTAACTGGAGATGCCGGGGATTGAACCCGGGACCTTCTGCATCCAAAGCAGAGGCTCTGCCTCTGAGCCACAGGCAAGGAAGGGGGGCAGAGGAAACGGATGAGTGGCTGTTCCGTTGCCTCTTTGAAGGTCTGCCTCTGCATTCGCATCGCCCACGAGAGCCTCCCAGAATGGTCTCTGTGCGGAAGTAGCCCCCCGATGTGTTTTGTCGAGCTGGTAGCCGGATTACGGAATGCCCTTGGCCCTTCTCCAGTCTGAAGCATCTCTGCCAGATATCTGCCAACCTCATTTGGGGAGAGGCAGGACAAAAATGTCATAAATAATAAGTCTAGGCAGGGATCCAGGAGTTCCGTGCGTGAGAACAGAGAGCGCTCCTGCGCTCGCAAGAAGCCGGCTACCAGGGTGGCTTCCCCCCCCTTCCACTTCCGTTGTTTCCCTCGTACTGGCTCCCATCACGTGGCGCCTTTTAATCTTCAGTTATCCGGGAGAGTAGAAAAGAGCCACAGTCCAGTAGCACCTTTGCTGTTGTTGTTCAGTCGCCCAGTTGAGTCCGACTCTTCGCGGCCCAGTGGACCACATCACGCCATGCCCTCCTGTCTTCCATTGTGCTCCGGAGTTTGCTCAGTTTCATGTTTGCTGCATCGATAACAGTGTCTAACCATCTCAGTTCAGCCCGCCTAAATCTAACGTGCACTTCCCCCCCTACCTGTGAACCTAACTTATTTATCTATGACAGGGCACCTAGAATGATAAAAGGGCACCTAGAATGATAAAAGGGCAACTAGAATGATAAAAGGGTTGGAACACTTTCCCTATGAAGAAACGTTAAAGGGCTTGGAGCTCTTTAGCTTGGAGAAACAACGGCTGAGAGGTGACATGGTCGAGGTTTATAAGATTATGCATGGGAGAGAGCAGGTCGAGAAAGAAGTACTTTTCTCCCTTTCTCACAATACAAGAACTTGGGGGCACTCCATGAAATTGCTGAGCGGTCAGGTTAGGACGGATAAAAGGAAGTCCTTCTTCACCCAAAGAGTGATTAACACATGGAATTCACTGCCACAGGAAGTGGTGGCGGCTACAAGCATGGACGGCTTCAAAAGGGAATTAGATAAGCATATGGAGCAGAGGTCCATCAGTGGCTATTAGCCACAAGGTATAGATAGGAACTCTTGGTCTGAGGCAACTGATGCTCTGTATTCTTGGTGCTGGGGGGGGGGACAGTGGGAGGGCTTCTAGTGTCCTGGCCCCACTGCTGGACCTCCTGATGGCACCTGGTGTTTTTGGCCACTGTGTGACACAGAGTGTTGGACTGGATGGGCCACTGGCCTGATCCAACACTGGCTTCTCTTATGTTCTTATGGATTAACGTATGGAGCAGAGGTCCATCAGTGGCTCTTAGCCACAAGGTATAGATAGGAACTCACAGGCTGAGGCAGGTGATGCTCTGTATACTTGGTGCTTGGGGGGCGGGCACAGTGGGAGGGCTTCTAGTGTCCTGGCCCCACTGCTGGACCTCCT